TATATATATATATAAAGGCTTTCAAATGAGACCTGAATATAAATTGGTTCTACTTCATTACAGTTTAAGTTCCTGAAATTGTATGCATCATTTGTGTGACTGTGCTTATGCTCATTTTGTACAGTGAGGGTCTTTCATCAGATTCTCAGAAGGACAAGTGACTCCAAAAAACTTTAAGAACCACTAATCTAGCATATCAAAAACATTCCATTTTCCAGAGAGACACAGTTAAGTTGGTTTAGTTCAAATATTCTTCCTTCATATTCATAGAGGGGATCCTTACTACAAAATTAAGTCTTTCGAAGAATTCCTTCAGCCCTGCCAAAAAGTTCCAATATCTACAGACACATATATCAACAATTCCCAGATCCCAAAAACTGTTTACTCATAAACGCCAAAAGATAATGCAAAAGAAGGCACACATTATCACAAACTGGCCATCCTGTTGGATTCTTAAATACACTTGTATCCTTCCACATTAAAATGTCTGGAAGATCTAAATTCCCTCCAAACTGAAAAGACTTTTTAGGAAGGTTTTCTAGTTTCAATTTCGCACTGACTTGTCTGCTTTGCTTGACTTAATACATACCACTGTCAAGACAAGTCCCCTCATATGCATCCAGGATGCATCCAGGCTGTTTCAACAGGGTCACCTTGATTACTCTCACCCCAAGGCAGGAACAGTGTATAACGAGTAGTTATTCAACAAATATTTGTTGAACGAATGAAAGAAGATCCTTCTTCCCATACATTTAAAGTTAAGCTGTCAGGCCCCAGGTAGCTGCTCTAGTACAAGTTAAACTACGGAAGACATCCCTTCCTCAAACACACAAACTCAAGTGTCAGAAATGCTCTGCTTCCTTCATAAACAAAAAATAATCATGGATAACCATTTCACACAGGCCAACCTGGAAAGGACAACCTACATTCCACATACATGTCTGACATAACTGATCTCTACCAAATACAATTCAACCAGTCATATAAGCCCTTATCTTTCCAATAAACTCAGATTTGCCTGACAAAGACCTCCTGAGGCATCATGGTATAGTGAATACACTACTGGACTAGTAGTCAAAATACTGGAGTTATAGTCCCAACTTTGTAACCAATTTAACATGTGACCTTGAAAAAATTATCTCTTTATGCCTCAATTTCGTATTGTGTAAAATGGGAGAAAACATCTATTCTACCATTTCACAGATATTTAGAATCACAAAGAGATTTAGAATTTAAAGATTTAAAATCTGAAAAATATAACAGCGTTATTCTATCATAAAGCGTTAATATAAACTCAGGTCAACAAAAAGGCCATCCATTCCTTATACCCTCATAGTAACTATTCTGTTAAAGACATTCTAGACCTTCACATTTACACAATTCACTCTGTTCAGAGGAACAAACTACTCTTAAGACCACAAGCAGTTTAAGTTTCTCCCACAAATATATGCTATATTGTCTAAAATACTGCTGTGACTTCTCTTTCCCAACAGGTAACAAGGCGCTCCCAATACCTAAAATACACACACACATCAGCCAGCAGGGAATATCCCACGTTTTATTTTAAAAATAAGCTAACTTATAAGGGGAACTCCATTACACTTACACAAACACAAGCAAACTCTTCCGGAACACTTTCCTTCCTTGCATACACACACAAACACAGCCGCCATACACCAGCAGACCATCTGTCTTCCAGACCAAAAACATGTCTTTCCATGTACAAAGTAACCAGTAACATTTATTAAACTTATAACACTGAAATCATTCTGTCTTTCCTACATACAGTTCAGCATGTCAGGGACGACACACACCTGATCATACAGGTAAACTACTCTCAGAAGATCAGCCCTCCTGCCAGTCTTATTCCTTAAACAGCCACAGACTGGACTACGGGGGATGCTCCAATCGTGTCTACACAACACACAAACTAACCTGTCAGGGGCACAGCCGACTCCGCCTCCACTCGCTTACTTTCCTGCCCCCTCCCCCAAGCCAGGAGCCCGCCTGTCGGGGACACCCCTTCACCCCCGCCAGGAGGGACTTCCCGGTAAGCTCAGGATCCCCTTCCCTTCTCTCCCCTCCCCCATCCTTACCACCGCTCTCCCGGAGGTCCAGGTCCGGGAGATGACAGTAGCTCCCAAGAAGCCAAGGATTGAGTCGCGGAGGGAGTACTTAGGCCCAAAGGCCTCCCCAGGCGGTTCTACTCACCGTGTCAGAGGCCGAGGCCGAGAAAGATGAGAGTGCAGGGAAGTGGGGAAGAGGGGGCGGCCGCCACTAGGCTCCTCCGCTTCCCTTGGTCCACAGTGGATCCCTCCCGCTTGTCAGGAGGCGGCCAGCGGGTGAGCGGACTGGCGGAAATGCGAGAGAGGAGAAGGGAAAGGCGTGGGGCCAAGCAAGGGAAACTGAGGGGAGGCGGGTCCCGCAACCCAGACGGGGATCGTCTCCCCCTCCGCAAAGCGAACCCAAAATGGCGGCGGGAGCGGCGGCGGCAGAGCGGCGGCGGCGGCAGCTCCTCGGGAGGGAGGGAGCGAGCGAAGGGCGCCTCGTGCCCCCCCCCCACCTCCCACTCCTCCCTCCTCGCGTTCTTCCCCTCCGTCCTCCCCCCTCACCCGACTCGGGCGGCGAAGCGCGCACGCCCGCCCGCACGCGTCGGAGTGTATCTGGGCTCGTCGCTCGCCGCTCCCACCAACCACCGCCTCCGGCCGCCTTGCGCGCCAGCCAGCCCGTACGCGCTCGCTCAGGGGCGCCTCCTCGCACGGTCCCCCACTTCCCCTCGGCCCCTGTCAAGCCGGCTCTGGCGCGGGCCCTCACGCGTACCTTCAGCGGCGCGAGCCCAAGCCTCCTCCTCCACCTCCTCTTCTTTCCTCCCCCCCTTCCCCGCCCCCACGGCCACCAACCGCCGCCACGGCCGCCGCCGCCGCCGCCTCCTCCTCCGGCCCCCCCCCCACATACCCTCCACCCCTCGCGCGTGCGCCTCCCACAATCCCCCCGCGGGACTGTTCCATTCCTGTCGGCTGCAGGAGCGGGGGAGGAAAAGGTAGGCAAAAGCAGGCAGAGCTTGCCGCTAAGACTGGAATTATCTGAGTGGCGGACAGAGACCCATGGCTACTCACCTCCCGGGCCGGGGCGCCGCGGCTCGCCTCCCCCCTCCTCCTCACGGCCGCGGCGAGTGGGTCGGGGGCGGCCTAGCGCCCCTCCGCTGGCCGGCGGTTGGAGGCCGCGGCGGCTGCGCGTTGAGTAGCTTCCTGCCGTTCGACCCGAGCTTGCTTCTTTGCTGCGGGACGAGCACTACGGAGCAGCTTTTGATAGTATCTGCTGTTCGCCGCGTGGGGAGAATTGGTCCGCGACTCTCGGTGAGGAAATGGACCGGCGCGGGGGTTGTACCCATGAGAGAAAGGAGCGGGACTCCGCACCTCCGTGAGGTAGGGAGTGAGGCCAGGAGGACCGGCGACCGTCCTAGGGGGCTTTTTTCCGGGTTCTATGTTGCAGACTTGGGACCCAAGGAAGAACCGGCGCCGTGGTCGGCTTTCTTTTTTTAGCTCAGCTTAGATTTCAAGAATTTCACACAACTGTCTATACGCGATGGTGTTTCTGTGCACTTTTACTTTTTCCTCCTGCATGGCTACTACATTTTCAATCTCATTAGGCAGCCTGATGTTAGAGGATAAGGAATCATGTATTTCCAGTTGAGTTTTGGACTGAATCGCCCGTGTCTTATGTGTCCTTCGGAAAGTTATTTTTCTTAATTCCTTATCAAGAAGAAACGAAAAACTAGACATAAAAATTAGTTAACTCCAAATCTGCCTTTGGAATTGGTGTGTGAAATAATATATGTAAAGTAGAATTAGCTCCTAGGCACAGGGAAAGTGCAGAGCATTATGTTATGATTCTGTTGATGTTGATAAGGTTTGTGGGTGTAATTGGTAGTTTGTGTCCTATTCTAACCAAGTCGTTAATAAAACAAAGCAAAACTAGGCCTATCAGATTTCTGTGGTTACTAATACTTGTTTCTCAGAATCCTGCACGAACGTTTACTTGATGATGGAATTCAGGAGAACTATGGACTATTAAAATCCACAGATAATCCCGAAGTTTATCTAATCTAGTAGTTTTTAGTTTCACCTAACCAGTAAAGCAGAAAAAATTAGGGAGGGGATTTACTTGGGTGTCCCTTTTCTTCACATCTGTGAATTTCTGGGGATCCAGGGAATAGTTTGAAAATCATTGTGCTAGATTAAATCTCAAAGGTCTAGTCAAGCTCTGAAGTTCAAGTAGACACTCCTGAATTTCCCCGGTACCATATTTCAATATATGGACCAGGCTTTGTTTGCTTGCTTTGTTTTTTTAAGGTAAAGAGGAATTCAGCCTTAATTACCTCGCTATATATTTGCTTTTCCTGTGTCTTAAGTGCCAAGTCTTTCATGGAGCCCATTGAAGTTTTACATTAATCTTTAATTGTGTCATGTATGCAAGTGTGTTACTCTACCAACAACGTTTTTAATTTGAGAGCAAGGACTATGTCTAACATTTTTTTTATAGTCTAGTGCAAAGCAAGTTAGGAAAATGTTGAAATGAATGTTAGATACTTAAAATATGAGAGGAGAAGGAGAATTAACATTTGTGGAATACCATGCCAGAAGAACATGTGTTTGTTTTTAATCCTTAGAATAAACAACACTTTGAGATGGATCATCTTATTCACATTTTACAGATGAGAAGCCTGAGGCTCAGAGAAGTCCAGTAATTTTATCTTTAGACTTTAGTTTGCCTGTCTCTTAAAAACCTAACTTTTTTCACTATACCACATTGCCTTCGTGTAAAATTTCTCATCAGTAACATAATTGTATACACTACAAAGAAAAAACACTTCTAATGGAATTCCACTACACCAGTATATAAAGAAAGTTACATACTTAGGGTCTCTGCCTTCAACTAGCATTCAGTAACTGCACTGATTCATGAATTGTCGGCTAAGTATAGGCGAATAGGATAGTATTCTGTTCTTTTGCATATGCCCCAGTGCCTACTAGCAACTAAAATATATTAAGTGCTCAATAAAATGACCATATTGAATGAATGAACACTGAATTATTTGAACCAAGGAAGGCTTGGAAGACAGACTAATCGTTCCCCCAAGATGTCCATGTCCTAATTCCTAGAACCTGTGACTATGTTATGTTACATAGCAAGAGGGAATTAAGGATGCAGGTGGCATTAAGGTTGCTAATCAGCTAACCTTAAAATAGGGAGATTATCCTGGATTATCTGATAGGCCCACTGGAATTACAAGAGTTTTGAAAAGATGGAAGAGGAAGACAGAAGAGTCTGTCAGAGTGATGCAATATGACAAAGACTTGACTGGCTCTTGCAGGCTTTGAAGATGAAAGGGCAGCCTCTAAACACTGGAAAAGTCAATAAAGCAGATTCTCTACTAGAGCCTCCAGAAAGAATACAACCCTGCAAGACACTTTGATTTTGCACTTCTAAACACAGAACCCTAAGATGACAAATTTGTGTTGTTTTATGCCACTAAGGTTGTGGTAATTTGTCACAGCAGCAATAGGAAACTAATACAGAAAGAGTCAAATCATTATTAACCTCCAAAGTACTCTGCCTTGGATTGTGGTCTGTGCTTTAATTTAAATGAGGGTATGGGTTAACTGAAACTTTTCTTTAAGCAAAGTGATAGGCACTCAACAAAACTGCCTAGATTTCCAGTATTCCCCTACTGTTCTGCTTCTGGCATCAGTTTCCAAGCTGTAAGTACACAGCTGGCCTCTAGGATATTGCTGTACAGCAGCAGTCTTAGCTAAGCTGCCCTCAGACTTCCTCACTGGAATAGAAGTAATTAAACATTTATTTCATGGTGCTTCCTTGCTGGGATGTTATCTAAATACAATATAGATAAACAGGAGAAGCTCTTCAGTATAAACTTTTAAAATAAGGTTTCAAATGTTAAAAGAAATTTTTGAAGATAAAACTTACTAGAATATCATCAGGATTGACTTTACATTTGACAAGTTATGGGTAAATGCTGTATAAGCATAATAATCTAAATAATTTTCTATGTAACAAGGGAAGAACTCTGAAATTTTTGTTTGGGTACCAAGATTTTAAACTTATGCTTCAGGTTATTGCCTTTTATCAAAGTAGAAATGTACACTTCAGACTGCCTGGGTTCAAGGCCTCGCTCTGCTCCTTGGTAGCTCTGTAAACTGGAGAAACTTAGGTGTAGTAATAAACTGATAACTTATAAATCATTTAATCCTTGTAACAATTCTATATTTAGATGCTGCCATTATCTCCATTTTAGAAATGAAGAAACAGAGACAAAGTTTAAGTAATTTGCTCAAGGTTACACAACTATTAAATAGGAGAGCCGGGTTTCAAATCCCAGCACTTAGTTTGAAGAGTCCAAGCTTTTAACCATTCTGCCATACTTGCCACTCTGTTTCCTTGTCTGTAATCTTCCTAACCAAAAAAAAACCCATAAAAATGGTTTTGCCTAGGTCTCATAAAAACTTTTTTTAAATGATTTTATTTACTTTTTTTTTTTTTTTTTGGTGAGGAAGATTGGCCTTGAGCTAACGTCTGTTGCCAGTCTTCCTCTTTTTGCTGAGGAAGATTGTCCCTGAACTAACATCTGTGCCAATCTTCCTCTATTTTTTGTATATGGAATGCCGCCACAGCGTGGCTTGATGAGTGGTATGTAGGTGCGCGCCCGGGATCTGAACCCGCAAACCCCGAGTCACCAAAGCAGAGCGTGCAAACTTAACCACTAAGCCACCAGGCAGGCCCCAGAAACTTTTTTTTTAACATGGACACCGTACTGAATTTTGGACAGTTTTTATTACATACACAATATTATTAATATTGCTGATTATTGTTAATAACATTAGAAATAAAAATCAAGAAAGAAAATTACCCGCAACATTAGCACCACAATAGATCACACTGTTTTGTGTTTATCTTTTCTTTTAAGTTTTTATCTTTAGGCATCTCTACTTCAGAACCTAATCTAGGGGCTGGCCCAGTGGCACAGCCGCTAAGTGCACAGACTTAATAATTCACTTATTCTCAGCTAGGATCAAAGTTAACAGCTAGCTGCACAAATAAAGGATTGAGGCCATGTAGGAAGAAATATGATGTAGTAATGAGGAACGTGGGCTCTTAAGTCCAATAACCACGTGTACATCCAGACTTCTCCATTTTTTAACAGTACAGTGGTTTCCACGTGTCAGAAAAAATTGTGACTTTGCAGCTCCTATAAAGAGATAAAGTCTGCTTCCCACACGTTGAATCTGTGTTGGCCTATAATGGGCTGCAATAGAATGTGACAGAAGACTGTGCTGGTTCTAAGCCAGGTTTGAACAGGTCTTAAATGTTTCAGCTCTCTTGGATCTTTGCCACTGCTATGACAAGTCCAGGCCACACTGCTAGAGGATGAGAGACAATGTAGAGCAGAATCAGTCATCTTAGCTGCGGCCAACCTCAGATGCATGAGGAAGCCTAACAGAGATAGGCAAACCTGGCCCAGAGCAAAAGAACTAACCAGCCTGTAGCTATAGACTTGTGAACAATAATAAGTAGTTATTGTTTTAAGCCACTGCATTTTGGGGTGGTTTGTTGTGGAGCAACAGCTGATACAATGCTTCAAAGGATGCTATGATGATAAAATAACATAAAGCATATAATGTATATAGCACATTTTCTGACATATAGTAGTTAATCTGTGCATGTTAGCTTCACTATTGCTGTATTGTTTTAATATGGCTAAATAGCAACATTTTTAAATAATGGCTTTATTGAGATTCACATAGCATAAAATTCACATACCATAAAATTCAATATCTTTAAAGTATACAATTCAGTGAGTTTTTAGTATATTCACAGAGTTGTGTGACCATTACCACTATCTAATTTTAGAACATTTTTATCACCCCAAAAAGAACCCATCAGTAGTCACTCTCCATTATTCCATCTCCCAGCCCCTGGCAACCACTAATCTAATTTTCTGTCGCAATAGATTTGCCTGTTGTGGACATTTCATATAATGAGAATTATACTACATGTGGTCTTTTGTGACAGACTTCTTTCCCTTTGTTTAAAGATTCATCCATGTTGTAGCGTGTATCAGAACTTCATTTCTTGTTATTTCTGAATAATACTCCATTGTATAGCTATACCACATTTTGTTTATCCATTCATCAGTTGACGAACTTTTGGATTGTTTCCACATTTTGGCTATTATGAATAATGCTGCTGTGAGCATTTGTGCACAAGTTTTTGTATGTACATATATTTTCATTTCTCTTGCGTATATAACTAGGAGTAGAATTGCTGGGTCATTTGGTAACTCCATGTTTAATCTTTTGAGGAACTGCCAAACTGTTTCTAAAGTGGCTGCACCATTTTACATTCC